ATTTACCACAAATTAAAAGTATCTTATATTATTAGATATATTATTATAAAACATGCTTTAGTTAAGAAGTTATTGATACTTCAAGTGCAAAATCATGATATAAAACCATGATAAAAATGCACTTTTAAGTACTAATCATTAGACATACTAATGATGATGCTAGCTTAGAAAGCTAATCTTAGAGCCCTCAATCAAGAATTGAAATACTTACCCAATAAAATTAAAATCATACAAATAACCTTAACCAATTATTTCTCAAACCAAGAATCAAAGGTACATGGTTAGAACACCATAAAGCAATCTTTGATAAGTTCTAGAAGTTGAGTGAAGAATCTAAAGAAGAAACATAATCATATTGTTCAATTATTAATGACAACAAAAGTTTTTTTTTAATTTTATTTTATTTTAACTACTTATATAATATGACTTAAAAATTAACCTAATTAACTAATGGGTTTAAATTAAATCCACATAACTAACTAACTTGAATCCAAAACTGAATAAGAATGAAATACTTATAATTAGATACTAGGTTTAAATTAAACTTGCATAACTAATTAACTCTCTCTTCTCAAAAGGATTCAGTATTAAATCATCACTTATATAAAAAATGATTAAAAACATTAAATATAGCACTAACATTGTACTCACCTAGAAGTTTCAACTCATATACATTGTCATTAATATATTCAAAGACTTGTAATGGACCATTCCCTCTAGAATGCAACTTAGATTTCCTATGGTATAGAAATTTTTCCTTCCTTATATGCATCCAAACTCAATCAACGAATTCAAATAAACATACCTATAACCCTTGTTGATTCCAGATGCATATTGTTTATTTTTTTATTTGTTTTCCAATACTCTTATAGAGTTCCTTTGACATTTCAACCTTTTTATTTTCTTCAAGACTAATGATTAGAACTTAAAAGTGCATTTTTATCAAGTTTTTATATCATCATTTTGCACTTGAAGTATCAATAACTCGTTAACTAAAGCATGTTTTATAATAACAAGTCTGATACTTTAATTCATGGTAAATGTTCATCCTAAATATAAGCTTATCACATAAATAAAAGAATTGATTGATGAGTTGAAGTACTAAAATTGAAAGGATAAATAGAGGGTGAAGCTTAGAAAATATATGTTAGTTTAGTCCAAACTAGAACACTACTCGGTAATTAGATTATAACTGGAGCTGCAGAACTTGGATTTAGTTCTTCTTTATATGGATGGAAAGATAAGACATAGGCATAAAACATTTATGTAAAAGGCAAAACTTAATTATGCTATTTAGAAGTCTAAATCTTAACAACAACGTAAAAGTCCGAATCTGTCCTTACTATGAAAGGAACTTCATTTGTTGTTAACATAAGTTAGCATCATGAATTCCTAATATTATTTAAAAGTTTGGTGTTACTTAAATAAGATAATTAATATGATCGTGTTAATAATTTATAATAAGCTAATAATGACAAATCATCCGATTGAAACCTCCTTTATGTGTGGTTTCTAGTTGAGTAATAAAAAGAGTTTGTATTACATTTATTTTTAATACTATTAGTGAATCCTCTAACCTTGATATTTATTTTTATCACTATTTAATCCTCACATTAATCTCACATCTTAAAATTCTCTTTAACTTATTATTACTATTATTATTATTATATAGTTAACCTCTATATGATTCAACCCTGGTCTTACTAGGTTATTTA